CACACACACACATAGACACACACACACACACTCATAAATGAACACACTTACTGTAATATAAAAATACTTTTTATTTGAAAACTGAACACGAAATGAATTTCCAGTCCCCATTTTTTTCTTTTTAAGAGCTGGAGTATATTTAATTTAATTAAATCTAGCATGCAGACGCTGCAGGGGCAGACAGGCTGCAGACGGGAATGGGACCATATAAAAAGGGGTCTGTCAGAGGGAATAAAAGCACCAGAAACAGCAGCAGCCCCATCAGATAGGAGAGGAGTATGGCTGTTTTTTGGGGGTGTTGCAGGGCTGAGGTTAGGTCAGGCAGGCCCTGACTGTTACAGAACGCATGGCACACAACTGGACCCACGACGTGACCTATCAAAAAAACATTACAGATTGAATAAGCTGTGTACTGTATAGGTAATATCTTAACAAGTTAATGTGCATTCATCTCTCACCAGTTCTCATGAATATAAAGGCAGTGAAGGCACCAAACAAAGTTGTGTACAAGAACTGCGTCCCTGCAAAAAGAATAGAACAAATAAGTCAAATTGATGACCTTGAATGTGAAATCAAAAGGATTGGATCTAATTGTATTTGAAAAAAGTACCATATTATAGTTTTAAACAGGTCTTCAAGTTATTATTTACTTCTACTTTACTTGAGTATTTCTATTTTTGTGCTACTAAATACTAATACTTCTAAATCCCAGAGGCAAATATTTGACTTTGGAAGTGATTTTGATTCAGATAGATAATACCAAATATATTCAACAAATAATCTATCATACATTGGGTTGAGGTAAAAGTTGATGTATCCCTTGGTAAAATTGAGCTCCCTTGTGGGCCTAGTAGAAAAAAGCTTCTTATTTACATATTAACACATAGATAATTGAGTCTATTTTTAATATTTATGATACTGAAATGGGCCATTCTGAAGAATAAATACTTTAAGCGTTTAACTTTAAGATGCTAATACCTTTATACCTTTTATATAAGTAACATTTGGAATTGACCTTTACTGTACTTGCAACACAGTGTGTATAATTTGTTACCACTAAGCGTGTGTGCAAACAACTCCTGCAGTGGAGATATTTACAAAAAAGTGTGTTCAAAATGTTGACAGACTAACACATTTCAACATGTATTGACAGAACCTTCATTTGAATTCATGTTCCTACATTATTACAACATATGAGAAGAGTATAAACTGACCTGACACCATGAGGATGATACTCATACTGTCCTTGTGGAGGCGCCGTTGCTCTATGATGTGATGGAAATGGGCTAACATGTTTAGGGCAAAAATAGACAAAAAGGTTTAAATCTTTCCAAAGTACAAAATAATTTGGTCATATCTGTTATAATAATATCATCACAGACCTGATTTTTTTACTCTACATTAAGGTCATTTGTAAATATGAGTTGTTTACAATCAGAAAACATGGTTGTCTCACCAACTCCGAAGAAGAGCGGAGCGATGAAGATGGCAGCGGTGGGTCCAGTGCAGGGCACCAGCATGGGCAGCATGGCCCCTCTGAACACCAGCTCCTCCGTCACTGGAGCCACCAGCTGGTTCCTGAGCCACACTGCATCTCTCACACACCACCTCCAGGCCTGCACATCTGGGGGAATAAAGCCTCATGATGACTGACACAGCAAATGCAATGCAAGCACACATGTAAAACTCTCCAAACATGACAAAACATTTAGTAGACCCAAAGCATAACTCACCTAGGAGGGACTGCAGCTCCCCAGAGAAGCCTTTGGGGTTGTCCATCGCAGAGTGTACCAGAGGCCCCAGATAAAATGCCTTATGTTAAAGATAAAATCACTTGTTTATTACAGCCAGTGGAAGTATATAAAAAAGACATGCACATGGGAATTTAATAGAGGTTGTAAAGCCATGCTGTTAAGATTTGGAAATGGAAATGTAATCTCTGAAATGTCAAAACCTACTTAGTGCAGCATAAATAAAATGCTTTAAGAGGAAAATAGATCCACAGACTAACTAAACCGAATACATTTTCAGACTTTACAGCTTTAACAGGTTATGAAAAATATGGTAGAAAAAGTCGTTTTTTAAGGTGAATGTTCTTTCATGTACTTTTTTGCTTTTATTATAGTCTTTGTTTTTTTAAATGTCTCAATGCAATTGGTGCGTTGTCCAAGTCTTTGACACCTATTATGAAATCAACTGTGACAAAGTTTTCCATAGTAAAATTTTGTAAATTTTGTTATTGTCTCTATTGGTTGTAGGCTATATAGTCTAAGTCTTAAACATCTAGCAAAGAAGAAGTAACATTGTGTACTTGAAGCTTTATTCATGGGTGGGACTCTCTGATGTACCATTGTTAGTATTAGCGGCAGAATGGCTGCGGGAACAAGACCCTCCAAACGGACTCCCATCAACTCCAACACGAACGCATTGACCTGGAGGAGCGTAAAGTAGTTTTATAAACACAGTTTTGACCCTCAAGTGATTATAAAGTTAAGCCAGTGTGAACCCAGGTTTAACCTCACAAAGCAACTTATGTATAGTGCACACGACCCCCGGAGTGAGGACACTTTCCTTCACCTGGACGCTCAGGGTTCACTTTGGGAAGTGTCCTTGAGAAAGACACGGAATCCTCTTAATTTTGACTGTCAACGACCTCTGACCTCCTACCTGAATGTGGCTCTACTGTGCTAGTGCTGAACTGTTTTAGTATAGATTGGATATAGTTAATACGTGTACAAACACTAATTTGCCTGTTTAGGTGCACCTAGCTAAAACTAATGCAGTCTAATACATCATTCCAGAAATAAATCCTACATTAATGGAGGCTATGTTTGGTTTGTATGCAAACTGTTTTAGAGAGGCGTTCATTTAAGGGTTACATTTTGGAGGATGTACTTTGTCATGCTGTTGAACAGTACTGATTTGTCTCAGGCCATCTTCATTGATATAAATGGGGTCGACAAAGTTGTTCAGTATAACTCCTTAGAGGTGTTTATTGCCTGCAGTGCTCAGTAATTTTAATTCGATAAAGGATCAATATGCTTGTTGAATGTATTGAGAATAATCAGTAAGCTTAAAGTTATGGGATGTGTGTTTTGTTGTAGGTTTAATGGGCATTAGTATTGCCTATTGAAGAATGAAATGGAAATAAAGTACTCAACTCAAATTCCAATTGCTTTACATTTGTGGCACTAACCAGATCATATCATTGATGGTTGAATTCTCAGATGTTTGTTAGGATATTGGTTATTGCATTGAGCTATGGCCGACTGAAGAATTAAAGAATCAGATGATGGGAACAGCATGTTTTGTTTATGTGTACTCACCCTGATATCAGCCCAGTGCATCCATGCTTTCACCACTGCAGGTGACAGCGCAGAGACCAGCAACACACTTGCAGAGCGACGCTTTATCACACTGGGATGATCCCTGCACACACATAGCAACAGTTTAAAAGTCAAGGGTAATAGCCTAGCCACAGCTCTGATGGTGAGTTGTATACCTGGGTAAGCTGCTTCTCCAGATGTACAAACTGCCAACGTACAGACAGGCGAGCAGGAGGCAGCTCAGCACACACACCCAACACCTCACATGGCTGTGCTCCACCTCCTCCTGGATTACAGGGCCATGTTCTGGTTCCAACATGACCGAATAGAGGGTTTCCTATGATAGGTTCCTCAGGCAAACGACAGCTAACATCGGTTTGGTTTTGTCTGTCATTTTAGATTAGCAGATCCCTATGAAGTCCTGCGGAGTAAAGCTGATTAGCTCTAATACTCTCCGGGGAGGAGACATGAGACTCAGGTGTGCATGTAAACACAACGTCACAGGCTGTAATTGTAAATGTTTTCCAAACACGTGTAAGGTATAAGGAGTGGATGAAAGAAGACCTGCTGTAAACAACATACTATCTTACATCGGCATATTCATGGCTTGTTTTGATAGTGTACAGCTTGCTTCAAAAATATTTTTGTCCACTAGGTAAGTTTATCAGAAGCTGGTAATTAACCTTACATTTTGCTTTAACCCTTCTATTGTCTTCGTTTTCCCCCCCTTACTTTGGTGTTCGCGGTCAAATTTGACCGGTCCTGTTTTAACTGCTATTACATTAACACAAAAACCATTAATCATCACCAAATTTCATTTAACACCCTTTCAAACTGTACATATTGTATCAGACTACTGGTATAAATGAAAAACTGCAGTAAATATACAAAGAATAGACACTGAACATGTATTGCGTGTGCCAGGTGTGATCCATGTGGGGGGATGGGCACATAAGAGCGGGAAATGTGCAAATTGTTCTGTGTGTGTGTGTGTGTGTGTGTGTGTGTGTGTGTGTGTGTGTGTGTGTGTGTGTGTGGTGTGTGTGTGTGTGTGCCAGGTGTGATTCACATGTGAGGATTGGGCACATAAGGGGGGGAACACATTTAGAGTATGTGTGTGTGTGTGTGTGTGTGTGTGTGTGTGTGTGTGTGTGTGTGTGTGTGGGTGTGTGGGTGTGTGGGTGTGTGGGTGTTTGTGTGTGTGTTTTATCTGATCCGGATGGTTACTAATTCCTTGTCTTTATGGCGGTCATCTTTGACCGGGAACACCATGGGTGTTACAAAGTTGACTAAATCATCCAAAATTCAATGAAAGTGGTGATCAGCAATTTTACATGTTCAAATGTCTACTGTGAAGGATATCATAAAGCCTTAATGCAATCAAATGTAAAACAAAAAAGTTATGATTGATGAAAGTTGTAAATCGGTCAGATTTGACCCGAAGACAACAGGAGGGTTAAATCATTTAAAAAAAGTGTTTAATTTGATGTAAGTAATGTTTTATTATCTACTGGTGGCAAGTTTTTCAGCAATCTACTGCAACCCCAAAACAGCTAGAAGTTGTTTTCTGGTAACTATTATTACCATAAGCTTCATAAAAAAACACAAAACAATTTGAGTTCCTTATAAACAGGTTTCTGTTGTTTCCAAAATAAAAATAACTCAAAATCCAAAGACATAACCAACCAATATTTATGTTTCTTCAACACAATAATCAATATCATTCATCAAGTCTTCACCTCATAAATATAAACAGCAACATCAGGGGTACAGTGTGTGAAAGTCATATATTTGGGATAAAAAGCAGAGTCCCACTTTATCAGCACACTTCAAACAACATGCATATAGTAGTCAAAGTTCAAAGAGGTAAGGAAACAGGTGCATTTCTGTGGATTAAGCAGGCACGAACATCCCAACCATACACGTTATGGTTGATTTAAGGCATTCAGGGTCTGTGAGCACACAAGGTTTGAGAACGCTTTCAACATATAACATCAGAAAAACAAAACAATCAATATTGCAATAAGTGGAAATGTTTTTCGGGTTTCTAAGAATGGATTGTTGGCGGTCGTCCTTAACAGGCACCCTGTACTCTCAATACTGTGAGATTGAGTCCAGCTCATGACTTGTCACATGGTATTTGTACATCTAATATGTGTTGACATGTTATATCGAAATACTTCTTACTTATAGAAATAGAAATGTAAGACGGATATCCGCAGAAACAACAGAAATGACCTGGCACATTTTGGTTTCAGTATTCGGCAGATTTTGACAAGCTCCTGTTGTGATGAGGGGAATATGTTCTCCATTTAACAACAAATTGAATAGCCAGTGTTCAAAGAACAAACACACACACCAATGAAAATACACACAAAAACATGTGCAATAGATATACAATAATCTCAGGCATCATTTAAATAAATAAAAATATGTGAACAGAATTAAAATAATACTTAAGACAGACTGAAACTTCAACATGAACATATATTACATTTCAAGAAAATACTTTCAAAGAAGGCACATTATGCGCCCCGTATCTTGTCTGTCCTTATAATGGGTTTAAACAGTTCTCCGGGAAAATAAAGGCACTAAAAAACAAACGAAATGTGGAGCTTTCAGAACTGCAGAGTCTCAGTAGTAAAAACTATTCTCACTGGAGGACACATTTGTCTTTGCTGTTGTATTTTTGCCTCCTTGCCTCCAGACCGCGCTCCAGACGCTCATCTTCCTCTAATGCCCTGCAAACACAAATACAAACACATATAACAATATAATGCATATGACATTAACTCTTAATGTCTGCACCCTGACCTGTGTCAATGAAGTGATTGTAAATACGGAATGAAAAAAGCACAAATACCTGAACCACAATGATCTTATGTTTTACACGTCAGCATTACAAGCATTAACCTGAAGGCTTTATTTGAAATACACAGTATAAAGAGGTATCTTTTCTTTAAAGAATTTGTTATCTGCTTGCGATTTCCTTTTTGACATTTCTATACAACTATCCGTCCACACACACTCACCCTCTCTCCTTGGCGTCGATGTCTCTGATGATCTCGTCCCGCTGGTTGACCAAAGACACGAGCTCCTGGAGGAGCAGCTGCTCCCTCTGCTGCTGAGAGGACGACTTCTGCCAGTCTGCGGGACACATGTACAATAAGGAAATGCAGCAGATTGGATAGCTACTTGGTGAACAGTGTTGGAATTGAACTAAAGGCAGTTATTAACTTAAAGGGGACCTATCATGCAAAATGCACTTTTGTACGTCTTTTATACATGAATATGTCCCCCCCGGTGTGTCAGGGAACTCACCAAGTGTCAGAAAACACAACCCTCTCTCTTTTTCAGCACTTTGGCTCGACTAAAAATCGTTTTAAAATGTGCTATATAAATAAAACTTGATTTGATTTGATTTGATTTCCCTCCATACCCAAATCTCTAAAAACGGGGCTGCAACGGAGCTGATACAGACTGATACAGATTTTAAATTGTTCTGACGTCAGAAACGGGGTGCTCCGCCTATATGGGCAACTCTCCACCTATCAGGGGAATGAGAGGTTGCGTGGCATGGTAACAGCATGGTAACAGCATGGTAACAGCATGGTAACAGCATGGTAACAGCATGGTAACATGACGCTCGTGCCTCGCCCCCCTCCTTTGCAGGGGGGCGTGGTCAGCTGCAGCTCATTTGCCACAGAATCAGCCCTTGTGAAGACAGGGCTGGAAAAGAGCAAATAGAGCGAAATGAGGCATGGCTAAAATGCATGATCTGTTTGGTATTTTGAAAAAAAAAACTTCACAGACATGTTTTATATAGGTATGGCCCTACAATATATTATTCAAATATAGCATGATAGGTCCACTTTAACTTGTCTATTAGTCACACATTTGTACTGTTTATAATTAGCTTTCAATCACCTGTACATCACTTTGAATGCACTCATATGTATAAAATGTGATGATTTCTGTATTTTGCTACTTTATTTTTCGACTCCACTACATTTAAGAGGAAACATCGGTATAATAAACCTATTTCATACAAAACACATCTTACTAAATACCACTAATAAGCTCCACCTTCAATACCTTCACACAATTGTAATGTCTAATTTGAACTGTGGTATCTCTACTTTTACTCTTTCTGCCATCCCTGTGACTGACCTTCTATAGCCATCATGACCCGGAGTTCCCTGTTCAGCAGCTCAAACTTCCTCTCCAGATCCTGCTCCTCTTGTCTGGGGACACAGTATATAATCAGACAAATTAAAAGAAGTGTGTGTAATGCATGTGTGTGTACTGTTTGTGTATGAAAAAGCTCTTACAGAAGCTCCAGGTTGTCCTGTCTGCGTATCAGAGCGTTCTTCTTGTTCACCAGAGTGAACCACTCCTGGATCAGTCTCTCTTCTTCATCACGGTCGCTTCCTGTGTAAGCAGAGAAACAAGGGGCGGTTTGTATACAACTTAATGTGTTATTGCATAAAACCTAGATCAAGTACTCCCTACACTTGTGTGTCTGTGTGCCTTACCTGTTTCCATGAGGCTTCGCAGTCGTCTCTCCACCACAGCGGCTCTGCTGTCGATGTGTTTCTGCTCCGTCTCCAACGCTGCCAGCTCGCTCACCACATACTGACTGGTGTCCTGCAGACACTGACCACAAGCCCAATTTCACACAAACACAATCACACATGAACATACACATGACAAAGACATCCAGGAAGGGTGGAAAAAGGGGAAAAGAAAGAGGGAATCGTGGAAACAAGAAAAAAAGGTAGAAGAAAAAGGTCCAAAGATTAGAGAGCGACAAAAAAGATGAAATTTAAATAAACAACTTTTATACAAGTGAAAACACATATGCTTCTCTGTTTCTTGCAACCATCAGTCATGCTAATGATTTGATATGAGATGCAGTCAAAGACAAAGAAAAAAGGAAGTAGGACAGAGAAAAAGTGAGTGAGGAAAACATAACTGACCATTGTTTCCTCTTCTTGTTTGGGAGGCTGGGTCTCAGCTGTACTCTGCATCCCTGCAGCAGAAAATAGGACGTTTAAACAATATTTAAAATGTTAGATTATTGTCACTGAAAGGCTGATGTTGCAGGTACCCACCTTTGTTATAAGTGATTCCAGTCTTTGTTTCTTCATCCTGGAAAAACACATTTTTTAAATCCGGTTTTTAGAATATGATAATAGAGCTTTAACATTTAACATAAAAGTTGGAAACAATAAAAAGATGGAAAAAAACTGAGAGAGATACCTGAGTCTGTCCAAATTTGACTACTTTGGAACGTGGGGGTGGGACTGGTGAGATCGAATCGTCCCCTAAAACCAGATGAGAACTACTATCAGAAGATGGGTTCTTAAAGCAGATTATTCAACAGAATACCCGAAGACTTAATATATTACGATGAGACACATTTTGATTCAATGGATTTGATCAACCCGGTGCATGATGAGTATGTGGCAGCGCCTTTTTCATACTGAACACAACAATCCAAATGTTTCTTAAATCTCAATCTCTACATGTATGGCAGCCATTTCATTCCAGCGTCTGTTGTTTCCAACACAGAGAAATGTTGTTGTTGTCGTAGTTTATAGAATATGATAAAACATTTTCATTTTACTCATACCTATAAATAGTAAAACCAGAGAAACTGATAATTATGCAGTGGTCTCTTAACTGTTATAATTGTGGCACATGTTGTGTTTATGTAGGACGTGTTCAATCACATTTTACATCATATATTCTGTATCTTTGGGAACCTGGTGAGAATCTTAATTGAGGTGCTGTAAACTTGATTTAATGATTTGTTTTTCCTCCTCCTGGTCCTCTTAGTTCAAACTGTGCTACTTCACATTCCTAAGATCCCTGGAGACAAGCCAGAGTTTCCCCTTCCCCTTCTCTGTTTTTCTTTTATCTCTTTTTGTTCCCATCTCCATGGATTCCAGCATGACCTACTGTATGTACAAGGAAATAACTTTGAGTATGTACAGGAACATCAAGTGAGAGGAGCATGAGATAGTGGCATTTAGGATGGAGGCAGAGGAGAAATGTTGAAAAAAACAGCTGAAGACACATCTTTTTACCTCCTTTGTCCCTTGAACTGTTATATTATTTTGTTATGGTGCATGTGTGCAAAAAGGTTAGACCTGAAGGGAATATCTTTTTCTCTGGTTTAATTTCTGATGTGTGCCATGATGTCAAAGCACTTTGAGCTTTATTAGTATTATTATAATAAAATGAATGGTTGAAGTATAACAAAGTTGTTTAAAGGGGGGAAGATGTTGGTACCTTTACCCAGTCTTTTCGTCCTCGGTGGTGGGACCACCAAGGTGCTGCTGCCTCCCTCCTCGAGGCTCACTCCTTCGTTGAGTCGGGCCATGCAGAAAGCGGCCGCGTCCACATCAGTCGGGCCGGGGCCGGAGAGGGCGAGGCCGTAGCTGGACTGGCTGCTGTTGTGCTCGATCTGCAGCACACTCAGCTCCTGGTTGGTGAAGTGTGATCGGATCTGGCTGAGGTAGGTCATGACGATGAGCCGGTCGGGGACGGACAGCAGAACCATGTCGGACGGCTCCAGCAGGCGAGAGATACCCAGAGCCTCGAAACCATCAAAGGCCTGATGTTGTCAGAAGAGAAAGACGTCATCAGCAAAGAAACAAAGAGAAATATCTCTTTGGTAGATTGTAACAACTTGTGAATGATGGAATCTAAGAAAAGAAAATTGATTAACAACATCTTTACCTTTTTGTTGTTGATCTTGATGTCATGAGGGTACAACTGGTCAAATTGTCTGATGGGGAAAAAAGTAGGTACAAATATAATGCAAATGTACACACATTTCAATTGATTAAGGCCTAAAACTCAAAGTATTTTCATCAAAACATGTCTACATTTCTTTCTTGGTTGAAACAACACTCCACAAAATAAAAAGGTTACTTGAATATAACTTACAATGTATAAAGTAGTCTATGTTTATATTTGTTTTAGAAGTAGGTTGTTCTATTACAGTGTTTTCTAACTTATTCTGTATATTTGACATTGTGTATTCTATTCAATACTTCTATAGTTATGTACCTTTCTACTGTTGATACAGTATATATACGTATATATTGTTTATGCATATTATATTATTTTAACCTCAGTATATCTTATCTTAAATTCACAATTATATAATTTGGAAAAGGAAGGAGATATTGACAGTTGAAAATGTTGAGGTGTATGTGTTAACATACAAACATGTTATGTTTCTTGTATTTCGTACATTTTGTCAGGATGGAAGTGGTGTAGGATAGCACAGAAGGCCATTCCATTTCTCCAGGACGTGCTGAAGTTGGTGACCTTTATCCCGCGGTGACCTTTGGTGATGTCCTGACACCACTGCAGCAGGGATTGGGTGGAGGTCACCAGGCCCTGCAGGAGGAGGAGAGTTCATCAGAATCAGAAATCCTTTATTTGTCCCGCAACGGGGACATTTGCATTATTACAACAGCAGAAGTATAGTGCAGATAAAGTAAAGAAAATAGACTTACTAAGTATGCACACGTTATTGATAATAAAAAACACAAGTAAAAAAAAAATACTCCATGGTAAAAAAAAAAAAGTTTCAATATCTTTTTTGGAAAGTGACCATATCAAATTAAAGAGGTAGCTGGTACTGCTTACAGATTGTAAAAAAATTGAAAGAAAAATAAAGTGTGAATTGCATGAGGGCATATTGCACAAAGTTTGATATGTATTGCACATCAGGGGTATTGAAATATGTGTGTGTGGTGGTTTACCATTGGTTGTGGTGGTTATACAGTCTGACTGAAAAACATTTAGTTGTTGGTTGTGTGTGTGTGTTCTCTGTGATGTAAAAACATTTTGCGTATCTTTACCTCAGCTACATCGTCCTTCCCGTCAGCCTCCTCTCTGACCAGTGGAGAAGGCTGAGGGGGCTTAATGTCAGAGGTTTCTTCTTCTGCTAACGTAGGCAGTCGGGATGATGTCATCTCATGAGCAGGAGCAATGTGTGTGTCAAGATGTGATGATGTTTTCTTCTTTCCACCATCAGGGAGGTCAGCCTGTTGTCCTTTTCGCCTAAAATGAGATAAAAATAAATAATTTAAATTAGCAGGGAGACAGACTTTGGTTGGTGGAACAATGGGGATCGTCCAAGCAGCGATTTGTAGAGGTGAGTGAGAGACATGCAAGGTTGCTGGCAGGACGGATGGTAGCAGTGACTTGATGTTAGACAGCATGACAGGGGACATATCATTTAAGATAATAGGAAGATAAACATGCTTCCCTCAACACAGGTCTATGCTGTTAGGAAATGTCTATCACCTTTATAACAAAGCATAAAACACTTGTCTATGTCATTGACTGTATTTAGATCTATGTGGTGCCTAGGCTTTAAATATTCAGTTGAACACATCAGACAGAGCAGCAGTTCTTGAAACTAAACATGCACTCAGGTGCCAACAAACACATATTACCAGAGTAAAAAACACCTCCATACTCAAGATTAATAAAATGAAAATGTTAAAGAAAAATCCATAGCCAAAAGCACTTCTCCTTTGGCGATCACCTGAATTTCCCTTTAGTGCAACTTTGAGGTAACATGAGGAACATTTGTGGTTTTGTGTGAAATGGCTCAAACACTCAATACATTTCCTTGTAATATTCAGCAGCCTTAATGAATCACTACTTTGGTTAATTTCTTAATATCTTCAACAGACTCAGCTGTTCCTTTTGTTTAGTTCTAATTAGCATGCTAACAGGCTAAAGTAGCATGGCAAACATGTGACACAACTTTATTCAAGCATTGTCATTTAGCATGTTAATATGTTAAAGTTAGCATTCAGCTTGAATGTGGGACTAATAAAGGTATTCTGATTCTGATTCTGAAGGACTGCTGTGTACAGCCTTATCGACCTGCTAGCTTAACTCCAAGGCTAGCTATAGGCTTATTGTTATCTAACTTTCTTAATCCTGGGAATTTATCTTAAATTGTGTCAAATATTTAGGTAGTCAGTTTTCAAGTCAAGATCATTTTTGTGAGTTCACAGTCTTAAGTCCATCTCAAGTCTTCTAATCTGCATATCACATGTGCACATTTAAACACAGAGCTTCAGTGGTTTTCTTTTCTAGAGCAGCAGATGCTGACTTACACATCCTCCACGCCTTCTTGATTTTTCACCAACTCAATGGATTGTGGCTCTTCTTCCTCAGTTAGAAATATTTCCTGCATGGTATCACCGCCATGCCTCAAGTCACTACTGTGAGCAACAAGCTCTGATGTTTCAAAGTCAATCTCCCGGGGGTCTGGGATGAGGAGCCTCATACTGCGAGGGCCAGGGACAGGGGATGTGTCACCTGTCATCAGATGGATCTTAGCCAATAACAGCCTCTCCTCCTCTTGAAGCTGTTGGTTTTTGGTGATATGGTCAGGCTCAGAAGTGTGTGTATGTGTGTGAGGCCATTCAAATTGTGCACTTGTTGTGGTGTCTTTGTCGGTGTTTGAACTGGGGTGGCTTATGTCTTTATCATCCCTCACTTTTATGGCCATTTTTGTGTCATCATTTATTTTATTTATGTTTATTTCTGTGTTTATTTCTGTGTTTGACTGTATGCTGGCACGGTTTATGCTAGGAGGATTTGGCAAAGGCACTGAAGACAATTGATCAAGTGCTTCCTCCTTACTGGCAGCTTGGCCAGTTTTTGTGATAACATCATGTTTCTGTTCTGTTATTGGCTGCAGCGTTTGTTTTCCAATACATTGGGGAGCAGGTTTGGCTTCAGTTTTCTGACTGATTTCTTTCTCCTGCTTAAACCCAGCTGGAGGTTGAGGTTGAGGATGGTCTGCCAGACTGATTTTGGAGAGTTCAGGTTTCTTTGGTTGACTGACGAGAGAGTTTTGGTTAAGGGTCTGTCCACTGGATGGGAGTGAGGACGGCGTCTGGGACAGGGGGCCTGGGCTGAAGACAGAGAAGGAGATTTCAGAGCTGAACCTAAAGGCCGAAGATTTTGAAAAAAAAGTGGACCAGCAACAGATCCTTGTCATGCTCCATTCCCAACAAACCACCATTCATGTCACACAGCCAGAGCTCCATTTTGTTAATCTCACACAGGGTCAGAGGAAATTCAAGCATTAAAGTCGTTTAGGAAAGACACAGTGAGTTGTCGCCATACTCTAAACCAATTTAGAGTAAACTGCAGGTAGAACATTGTATTCCTTAAAGGGGACCTATCATGCAAAATGCACTTTTGTACGTCTTTTATACATGAATATGTGTCCCCGGTGTTCCAGGGAACTCACCAAGTGTCAGAAAACACAACCCTCTCTCTTTTCCTCCATACCCAAATCTCTAAAAACGGGGCTGCAACGGATCTGATACAGATTGATCCAGATTTGAACATTTCTCTGACGTCAGGACGGAGGAGCTGACCTATCAGGGGAATGAGAGGTTGCCGTGGCATGGTAACAGCATGGTAACACGACGCTCGTAACTCGGCCCCCTCCTTTGCAGGGGGGCGTGGTCAGCTGCAGCGCATGCAAAGACAGGGTGGAGGAGAGCAAAATAGAGCGAAATGAGACATGGCTAAAATGCATGATCTGTTTGGTATTTTGAAAAAGAAAACGTACAAATATACCTTATATAGGTATGGCCCTACAATATATTATTCAAATATAGCATGATAGGTCCACTTTAAAGGAGAGCATTTGTTTTTTACTTGGCTAATATCTCGGATGTCTGACGTTTTTAAATCCCATTTATTTGACAATATTATTTCCCAGATTTCCACACATTTGATTTGGCAGAGGTCTAAGTGGGATTATTCCAATCTGGAAAGGTTGGATGCTTAAAAAAATATGTGACTCAACCAATTCCAAAGAAAAATTCATAACACGGACTAAAGAGGGTTAGTTAATAAGCAGAAATTTGTGGCAAAACCACAATAACTTCCTGTTGTTTCTAGAACACCAGCAGTGTCTCTGTCTCTTTCATCTGACATTATATTTGCCCTGAAAAGCTTTTTCCTTTCAAGTCATAACCGAGGCAACATGTGAAGAAGATATCCTAGTCACAAACAAGTTGGTAATTATGTTGTGTGGGGGGCACAAATAGTACATGACTCACATGCCAACACGCAACTCTTTCTTGAGAAGGCAGGACAACACCAAACCCTCAGTAAAGTTAAGATAATGATGCTTAGTAGTTATGAAGATATGGTGAGTCAAGGCCTCTGTTATTGGAGGAAGGTTCGTCACACACACACAGGCACAGTCCTCTGATCCACAGGAGGCAACAGGCTGCTTCCCCTAAATAGCCTTGAGCTATTTCCTGGTTACTCACCTCCCTCCCTGCCTGGTCTCCCCCTTACTCACCCTGCTCTCTCTTCCATGTACATCTCAGCCATCCAGACAGAGCCACGATCATCCTGTCCTCTCTCATACTCCTCCTCCTCCTCCTCCTCCTCCTCCTCCTCCTCTCTCAACCACACTGGGATGGCACCAGACTTTAGGTTGCCTTTTTTCACTGATCTCAGACCAGGATTATCCAGGGTTTTCTTAACAGCAATGACAGAGTCCTTAGGTTTGACTGATCTAGACTCGAGTGTGCTTGTTGTTTTGTCTGCAGGGACAGAATCAGCAGGTGTCGTCGGAACCAGTTTGACTTCAGTATTTGTTTTCACTTCATCACATTGATGTTTCTCATCAATTGCAATATCATCCAACTCTGCTTCTCTCAGAGGAGGCCAGTCATCTGATTGGCTGTCGATGACTTCCTGCAGTGACGTAGAGCCAGAGATAGTCTCTTGCTTCTGTTGTGGTTTCTCTCCTCTGCTATCCCTTTCTCTCTGCCTGACCCGATCCCCCTCATCCTTTCTCTTCTTTTCCGTTTCTTTCTTTCTCTTCCTTTCCTCATTTCCTTTCCTTTCTTCCTCAATCTGCTGCTTCCTTTCTCTCTCTGCCTTTTCCTTCTCAATCCTTCCTTTCTCCATCTCCTTTCTCTCCTTCTCCAACCTCTGTCTCTCCTCCTCCTTTTCCCTCTCAATCCTTTCTTTCCTCTCCTTTTCCAACCTATGTCTCTCCTCCTCCTTTTCCCCCTCAATCCTTTCTTTCCTCTCCTTCTCCAACCTCTGTCGCTCCTCCTCCTTTTCCATCTCAATCCTTTCTTCTCTCTCCTTCTCCAACCTCTCTTTCTCCTCATGCTGTTTCCTTTCTTCCTCAATCTGCTGCTTCCCTTCTCTCTCTGCCTTTTCCTTCTCAATCCTTCCTTTCTCCATCTCCTTTCTCTCCTTCTCCAACCTCTGTCTCTCCTCCTCCTTTTCCCTCTCAATCCTTTCTTTCCTCTCCTTTTCCAACCTCTGTTTCTCCTCATTTCCTTTCCTTTCTTCCTCAATCTGCTGCTTCCTTTCTCTCTCCTCCTTTTCCTTCTCCTCCCTTTGCTTTGTTGCTAGCTCTTCCTTCTCCTTCTCCAACCTCTGTCTCTCCTCCTCCTTTTCCCTCCTTTTCCTTTCTTTCTCCAACCTCTGTCTCTCCTCATGTTGTTTCCTTTCTTCCTCAATCTGTTGCTTCCTTTCTCTCTCTGCCTTTTCCTTCTCAATCCTTTCTTTCTCCATCTCTTTTCTCTCCTTCTCCAACCTCAGTCTCTCCTCCTTTTCCTTCTCATCCCTTTGCTTTGTTGCTAGCTCTTCCCTCTCCTTCTCCTTTTCCCTCTCAATCCTTTCTTTCCTCTCCTTTTCCAACCTCAGTCTCTCCTCATGTTGTTTCCTTTCTTCTTCAATCTGCTGCTTCCTTTCTCTCTCTGCCTTTTCCTTCTCAATCCTTTCTTTCTCCATCTCTTTTCTCTCCTTCTCCAACCTCAGTCTCTCCTCCTTTTCCTTCTCATCCCTTTGCTTTGTTGCTAGCTCTTCCCTCTCCTTCTCCTTTTCCCTCTCAATCCTTTCTTTCCTCTCCTTTTCCAACCTCAGTCTCTCCTCATGTTGTTTCCTTTCTTCTTCAATCTGCTGCTTCCTTTCTCTCTCTGCCTTTTCCTTCTCAATCCTTCCTTTCTCCATCTCCTTTCTCTCCTTCTCCAACCTCTGTCTCTCCTCCTCCTTTTCCCTCTCAATCCTTTCTTTCCTCTCCTTTTCCAACCTCTGTTTCTCCTCATTTCCTTTCCTTTCTTCCTCAATCTGCTGCTTCCTTTCTCTCTCCTCCTTTTCCTTCTCCTCCCTTTGCTTTGTTGCTAGCTCTTCCTTCTCCTTCTCCAACCTCTGTCTCTCCTCCTCCTTTTCCCTCCTGTTCCTTTCTTTCTCCAACCTCTGTCTCTCCTCATGTTGTTTCCTTTCTTCCTCAATCTGTTGCTTCCTTTCTCTCTCTGCCTTTTCCTTCTCAATCCTTTCTTTCTCCATCTCTTTTCTCTCCTTCTCCAACCTCAGTCTCTCCTCCTTTTCCTTCTCATCCCTTTGCTTTGTTGCTAGCTCTTCCCTCTCCTTCTCCTTTTCCCTCTCAATCCTTTCTTTCCTCTCCTTTTCCAACCTCAGTCTCTCCTCATGTTGTTTCCTTCTTCCTCAATCTGCTGCTTCCTTTCTCTCTCTGCCTTTTCCTTCTCAATCCTTCCTTTCTCCATCTCCTTTCTCTCCTTCTCCAACCTCTGTCTCTCCTCCTCCTTTTCCCTCTCAATCCTTTCTTTCCTCTCCTTTTCCAACCTCTGTTTCTCCTCATTTCCTTTCCTTTCTTCCTCAATCTGCTGCTTCCTTTCTCTCTCCTCCTTTTCCTTCTCCTCCCTTTGCTTTGTTGCTAGCTCTTCCCTCTCCTTCTCCTTTTCCCTCTCAATCCTTTCTTTCCTCTCCTTTTCCAACCTCAGTCTCTCCTCATGTTGTTTCCTTTCTTCTTCAATCTGCTGCTTCCTTTCTCTCTCTGCCTTTTCCTTCTCCTCCCTTTGCTTTTTCTCCAGCTCTTCCTTCTCCCTTTTTATCTTCTTTCTCTCCTCCTCCTTTCCCCTCCTAATCCTTTCTTTTTCCATCTCTTCTCTCTCCTTCTCCAACCCCTCTCTCTCCTCCTTTTCCTTCTCCTCTCTTTGCTTTGTTGCTAGCTCTTCCTTCTCCTTCTCCAACATCTGTCTCTCCTCCTCCTTTTCCCTCCTTTTCCTTTCTTTCTCCAACCTCTGTCTCTCGTCATGTTGTTTCCTTTCTTCTTCAATCTGCTGCTTCCTTTCTCTCTCCTCCTTTTCCTTCTCCTCTCTTTGCCTTTTCTCCAGCTCTTCCTTCTCCTTCTCCAGCTTCTGTCTCTCCTCCTCCTTTTCCCTCTCAATCCTTTCTTCTCTCTCTTTCTCCAACCTCTGTCTCTCCTCATTTTGTTTCCTTTCTTCCTCAATCTGCTGCTTCCTTTCTCTCTCTGCCTTTTCCTTCTCCTCTCTTTGCTTTTTCTCCAGCTCTTCCTTCTCCTTCTCCAGCTTCTTTCTCTCCTCCTCTTTCTCCCTCTCAATCCTTTCTTTCTCCATCTTTTTTCTCTGTTTCTCAAACCTCTCTTTCTCCTCATGTTGTTTCCTTTCTTCTTCAATCTGTTGCTTCCTTTCTCTCTCTGCCTTTTCCTTCTCCTCCCTTTCCTTTTTCTCCAGCTCTTCCTTCTCCCTTTTTATCTTCTTTCTCTCCTCCTCCTTTCCCCTCCTAATCCTTTCTTTTTCCATCTCTTCTCTCTCCCTTTCCAACCTCTGTTTCTCCTCATGTTGTTTCCTTTCTTCTTCAATCTGCTGCTTCCTTTCTCTCTCCTCCTTTTCCTTCTCCTCTCTTTGCCTTTTCTCCAGCTGTTCCCTCTCCTTTTGCAGCTTCTTTCTCTCCTCCTCCTTTCCCCTCCTAATCCTTTCTTTCTCCATCTCTTCTCTCTCCTTCTCCAACCTCTCGTTCTCTTTCCTCTCTGCCTCTTCTCTCTCCTTCCTCTCTCTTTCCTCCTTTTTTATGTTTTCTATCCGTTCCTTCTCCGTTCTCTCCCTCTCTTTCTCCCTCTCCCTCTCCTGCTCACTAGCTGCCAGTCTCAGATTGTCCACCAGACTGAGTCCATGAGAAGTCTTCAGAGCTAATCCAGCCTGTTCACTAATCCTCTGGTGTTCTGTTGTGTCAGAGAAAGCCGTAGGTGGAGACATGTCGACAACAATGGGAATCAGTGGCTCGTCATCTGGCATCTTCACATCTTCTCCATGTAAAGTCTGCTGATCTTCGTCACTTATAAGGAGGCGTGATTGTTCTGCAGAGTGATGGGGATGACCTGTGTCCACAGGTCCAGATGTATGCAGGATGGAAGCCACTGTCTCATAGCTAAAGGGACAGGAAACAACTCTGAGACACGGCTCACCCTCAAATGACCTCAGCAGTCTCTGAACAGTGTGACAGCATGCTTGATTAAGAAGTTTCCATTTTCTCAGACTTTGTTTTGGTGCTTGTCCAAAGCACACAGAGGAAACATGTATTGTTGGTTGCACTGAGAACCACCCTACACTTTCAATAGTGCACAACTTAAGCCCACTGGCATTTCCATCCCCTCTAGCATGATAACAGAAGAAACACTTTATGCATGCAGCTCAGAGAAAGATAACACAGCGTAAAATTGGAAACAAATCCAATGGTACAAGTAAAATGCAATGAATTGATATGGTACTTCAGTCACTTAAAGTGGACCTATCATGCTATATTATAATGATATAGTGTAGGACCATACCTATATAAGGCATATTTATACTTTTTTTTTTCAAAATACCAAACAGATCATGCATTTTAGCCATGCCTCATTTCGCTCAATTTGCACTTTTTTACCCCTGTTTTTGCAAGGGCTGATTCTGTGAGAACAGCACCATCTACAGGCCTGACATATGTACTACAGCTTCTCCAGCGCTTTCGAACGGCAATGGCCGTGGCTGTCTCCTCCTGATTGGTGGAGTTGGCCCAATAGCCGTAGCGCCACTTTCCTGACGTCAGGACAGTGTTCAAATCTGGATCAGTTTTTATCAGATCCGTTGCAGCCCCTTTTTTTAGAGATTTGGGTATGGAGGAAAATAGAGAGGGTTGTGTTTTCTGACACTTGGTGAGTTCCCTGGAACACCGGGGACACATATTCATGTATAAAAGACGTACAAAAGTGCATTTTGCATGATAGGTCCCCTTTAAGTTAAATGTAATCCCTCTTTTTGAGTTTTACTTGATGAAGTAATATTGCTTTTTGTTGTTTTGACTTGTTTTTTACTCAAAGGTCGTAGCAGTAGTTTTATTCAATGGCGTGTTCTGACTTTATCTAAGCTTGGACTACTGAAATGTTTTCATAACGCCCCACACACACAAAACTCATAGCAGGACAGAAGGACTGACTCACCCTCTATAAAACACCCCAACTACCGCTGACATGAAGCCAGCCGGAGCCTCCATGTGCTGCTCCGCAACACACACATCTGCCTCTGTGTGTGCACATTTCTGGGCACTACCACACACACAGACACGCACACAATGTACTCTTGTGAAACCTCTCATCAAATAAGTCAGTTTAAACAAACAGCAGACAGAAGTTGAGATGAAGTTAACTAAGCAATGGTTAGGCTGCAGCACCACGTGAGTCAGTACATGTGCAGGACAGGTGTGTGTGTGTGTGTGTGTGTGTGTGTGTGTGTGTGTGTGTGTGTGTGTGTGTGTGTGTGTGTGCGTGTGTGTGTGTGTGTGTGTGTATGTGTGTGTGTGTGTGTGTGTGTGTGTGTGGTGGTTTGCAAGCAAAAGCAAATATGTCATGCCGTGCTGCAAGAAACCGTCACTGACTCACCCCCCTATTACACCACCCTCTTCCTCCTTCTTCTCATCCTTCTCTTCAGTGTTCTCACTACTCTCCGTCCCTCTTTCCACTGTGGTCTCCTCCACTGCCGCCCACAGCTGCTTCTCCGCCTCACACACTGGCTCCTTATTGTTGATGAGACTCTCCTGACCGCCAGTCACGGCCTCGGATGGTTTCCCCTCATCTGCTCCCTCCTGTTGTGGTTTCCCCGGCTGGAGGACTTCTTCCTGCCGCAGTTCTGGTTCTGGTTTTGAGGGAAGCAGCGGCTCCAGCGCCAAAGCCGTATGCTCAAAGGCTGGTTTGGGGGAAACTTCGGTTGAGGTTTCTGGTTCCACGCTGGGTCCTTCTGGCTCTTTGGGGTCCTCTTTGTTTGGTGGTGCGCCGGGTTCAGCTGGAGTTGGGACAATGTGAGGTGTTTCTGAGTCTTTTGTTGTGATTGGCTGGGGCTCCTGCTTCACAGCCGTGTCCACCTCAGCAGCATCTTGTTTTTGTGAGCTAGGAGAAAAGTAAAAAATCACATGAAAACACAGCCTTTACAGTTTTGGGGCCTATTCTATCATTAAGAAGCCAGACCACCAGCGAAGCAGACACACTGATAGTCGTAAAGACAGACAAAGCAGACAGACAGACAGACGTCCCCTTATCCATTCTTACCCTCTGCACAAAGGTTTTGTACCCTCGTTGGCAGAGCATTTTTCAGGTATATCTTTCCCATTTCTCCCTTCTAGCGATTTCCACACAGGAGTCTCCGCATCAGACCGCCTCTGTGGAGCTGGCACCAGGGTCAACACCTCTAATGTGAAAGGTTTATCCTGAAAAGTGGGGCCTCGTGGAGGACATGTGGCAGATATTTTCTTTTCTGGGCCAACCGTTTTTGGCAATGAACCTTCCTTTAACAGAGAGGGTTGCCCCAAACTAGAATACGGGGAGAAAAATAAATATATAGGATGAGATGAAGGGTGGGGGGCATGGTGGTATGAAAAAAGAGTTCAGCAGGAATAAGAAAGACATAGGAGGAAAGCCATTTAACAACAGAAAAAAATAAAAGTAGGGGTGAGCGATACCACACAATTTAATACTTAGTATTCCCAGGCCAGGATTACTGATTTCAATGTTTTTTGTTATTGGAAGAGCAAACAAAAACACTGTGATTCATTGGGGAAATGCATCATTATTACATTTTAATTGCATGGTGTCATTGGAGATTAGTATTTTCTTTTGTCTATTATTTACATGCATGGTAAAATGCAATATATGAATGGTAAATAAGGTAATTTGAATGTATGATGCACACACAACAGCAGCAAAGAACAGATCTAGCAACTCAAAACAAGACTCAGTATCGATGGTATCTATATCATTCTTTGGGGATCAATCTACCCCCCCGTACCACATAGATAATCAATAAGGTCTTACAAGGGCAAAGAAAATAATCACAACAAAAAAGCAGAGCAATAATCAAAAACAGAAATGTTAAATGTTTTAGTTAACCAGTATTAAAGGTGGGGTAGGTAAGTTTGAGAAACCGGCTCGAGATACACTTTTTGTTATATTCCATGGAATGCTCTTAACATCCCGATAGCAATGAATATCTTAAGTGCTTTGACAAAAAATCCATTAAAAAATGTCATCTGTGGAAGCCGTAGTACTGTAAAAAGCACGACCAATCATTTTAGCCGGCCCGGCCTCCCTGTGTCAGCCTTCCATCTGTGCACAAAGTTATCTCATTGGTCATGTGGGCGTTCGTGTGTGTTGGAGGAGGGGCTCTGTAAGGAAGTGGCAGATTTTTTCCGGCTGCGTATTTTCAAATTTTAGCGCACTCGAGCTGGTTTCAATTACCTACCCCACCTTTAAAACAAAGTGAATTTAAAGTAATTTTTCAAGGAAAACAATTGATTTTATTTGATGATTTAGAAAGAAAATGACAGCCATTTAAAGTATAAAAAAATCACCACCGACAGTGAAAATGTAACTTTTCAGTGGTGCAACTCACCGCTCATTGGAGGCGGAGCTTGGTTTATTGACAGATTGAAGGGTCATGACTCTGTCTTGTGATTGGCGGAGAGTTTGATATGACCGTTGCTCGGATGTACAGCTGGTTTTGTCCGGAGCAGGAAGTGGAGTCTGTGGTCCATCTGTAGGAGCTGTGGGCAGGTGTGTGAGACTGGGAGGAAGGAGGTCAGTGTTTAGCAGAGGAAGTGGCAGAGAAGGAGACACCAGAGTCTTCATCTTCTGCTTGTCCTCATCTGACTTGTTGGCCTCCTTCCTCCTTTTGTCTTCCATCTCTTCCTTCTTCTGTTCCACTTCTTTATTTCTCCTTTCTGCTTTCTCTTTCTCCTCTCCAAGTCTCTTCTCCTCCTCTTCCTCCCTTTTCTTCATCTCAGCCTCCTTTTCCTTCTGCTCCTTCAAGAGTCTCTCTTTCCTCCTCTCCTCCTCTTCTTCACTTCTTTTCTCCTCTGCTTTTTTCCTCCTCTCCATCCTTTCCTTCTCTTTCTTGACGAGTCTCTCCTCCTCCCTCTTCTTCCTCACCCCTTCTGCCTCCTTTTTCTGTCTCTCCTCTTCCTCTTTCCTCTCCTCCTCCTCCCTCTTCTTCCTCACCCCTTCTGCCTCCTTTTTCTGTCTCTCCTCTTCCTCTTTCCTCTCCTCCTCCTCCCTCTTCTTCCTCACCCCTTCTGCCTCCTTTATCTTCCTCTCCTCCTCCTGTACATGTCTTTTCTGTTCTTCCTCCTCCATCTTCCTCGTCGCCTCCTCTCCCAGGAGCCGATGTCTCTCCTCCTCCCTCCCCTTCCTCTTCTCCTCAAACACTCTCCTCTCCACCACAAGTTTCTCCTCCTCCTCTTTCATCTTCCTTAAGAATCTCTCTTTCTCCCGCGTCCTCTCTTCCTCCCTCCTTCCTCTCTCCTTCTCCCCCTCCACCTCCAGAAGTCTCCTCTGCTGCTCTCGTTTCTTCCTCTCCTCTTCATCCCGTGTCCTCTTGTCCTCCCTCTGCTTCTCTTGTTTGTCTCTCCTCTCAATAAGGAGTCTCTCCTCCTCGCATCTTTTCCTTTCCTTCTCCTTCTTGAGCTCCTCTTCCTCCTGTAAGAGCCTCTTCTTCTCCTCCTCTAACAGTCTCTTCTTCTCTTCTTCATGCTTTCTCCCCTTTTCCTGCTTCTGGAGAGTCACTTTATGTTCTTCATCGGTCCTCCTCTTTTCCTCCTCTTGTTCTTTCTCCCTCTTCTTCTCCTGCTCTGCCTTCATCTTCACCTCCTTGTCGGTCGCTGCTCCTTCTAACTTCTCATTTTCTCCACCGGCCTTTTCACTGGTTTTCTGTTCAAGACTGCAGAACAGATAAACAATATTCCTTAAACCTAACTGTGTGTGTGTGTGTGTGTGTGTGTGTGTGTGTGTGTGTGTGTGTGTGTGTGTGTGTGTGTGTGTGTGTGTGTTTATTATCTGCATCACCAGTTCACATTTTGCAACCTTCTTATTTATTTGATTTGTATCTGCAGATATAAATACTCACCCTGGAGGACACCTTTTAATAGTATCCCGCTTCGAGTCATCCTCTTCCAGAAACAACCCCCCTGATTCATGCGTCTGGTTGAATGACTCAAAGATGATGTCATCAAAGTCAGGCTCAGGCTCAGGCTTTGCCAGTGGCGGCTTTTCGGCCTTAAAGGCACTTATAATCACACTTGTTTCATTGGTTGACCTTTTCAAATCAATTTCCCCCTGAGCGCTCGAGTGTTTAGGAGTGATAAACGCCGCCACAACATTGGTGGAGGTCTGCAGAGGGGTGGAGCTCTCACAGCAGGAGAAGGGCCACGGAGGGGGCGGGGCTACTATCAGCTCTGAGTGGGCAGGACTGGGGGCAGAAATGTTGGAGGTCAGCCGCGAGAGATGAGAGGGTGAGATTTCACGATGCCGAGCGTGCAGGAAGTGATTAAGGGGGGGGGGGAGTTAGCCCAGCAGGCCACAGAGCAGACCCTAAAGTTATTCCAAGGTCAATGCAACAGGAGGGTACAACACACTTTGCAGCTGTTAGCCCACTGTTAGCATCAAAGAAGCACAAACACCAAGCACAGAGCAACCACAAATCCTTGAGCAATAGTGTCAGTAAAATATTGATCAACAAACACAGTACATTTTTTGTTAACCACAAGATTGTCGGCAAGCTGAAGCAGGTTTGTCTCAGTCAGCACTAAATAGCGTGGTGTCATTTGGATTATAATGAGTTTCAATAGCATTGAAACAGAGTTATAGGAGATCAATATGCTCAGGGCTGTCGGTTTATTCGAAAGCTACCACCAGCAGTCAGTTAGCTAAGCAAAGAACATATAACTTTGCTTGTTTATGTGCAAGACTATTTCTGGGCCGGTCATAGTTACTTCATGGACTTTCTGAAGTGTATTGTACACATTAACCAAAGCAGATTAGGTGCTGTTTTTTGGGACAGAGCAGGGTTAGCTATTTTCCCTGTTTCCATTGTCTATGCTATGCTAAGCTAACTGTCTCCTGGTTGAAGCTTTATATTTAACAGACAGACCTACAGTAAGACCAGTATCAATGATTTAACCCTTTGCCAAAAAGCGAATGAGCGTATTTCCCCAATTGCTGGTCTATTTTCAAAGCAATCATGGCATTTCAAGCATCCAGCCCATCTCAAAGTGTATAGATGAACTCTCTATGCTTGCTTTTATGAGTCTCTGTGTCCATGTTTCTCCCAAACTCTGCTATCTGCCACCAGTTTTCAAGACGCCTCTTCTTTAGCTCTGTGGTCTGCTGACACATTTTGGGTGTTTCTCAATCGCGAGTACGCTTGCTTGGTAGCACATGTCTGCCGAGCATCTTGCTTCAGAAGCGAGTCAAGAATACTTCCTGACATTTGGAAAACAAAGAGTGGAACAGGCTAGCAAGTGTGCAGGTGTGCGTCATATGATAGGCCCCGCCTTACATTTTCCGCCACAGATTTTGGAAATTGGTCCGTGCGCAAAGCATTGTGGGGATTTTAAGACCGCGGAGTCTACTCATGTGCAGCCTCGATATTTCTCCAAACGGAGTACGCCGGGCTCGGTAGATTTCCAAGTATGCTGGAGATTGGAACAGTACTTCGGCGGCACTCGATGACGTAGTATGCTTGAAATAGTGGCTCTGCAGCAGCTTTACTCGCGATTGAGAAACACCCTTTGACTTCACACAGCATTTCGGGGCCAAACAAACCTCTTAAAGATCCAAACCAAGCAACCTAAATGTAAACACTCATGTGATTCATCCCATGACCTCACCTGATCCTTGTTGGTTCAGCTTTGTTTTCTGGGATGGCTGCCTTTGAATCCTGGGCTGGTCTGATTAGCTGCTGGGATACTCTGAAGTTGGCCTCTGTCCGGTTCTTTTGAGGAGAACACTCGTCTTGGCTCGAAGTTGTTTCCTCGTCTACTTGAGTGAGGGGAAACAGTGAGCCTAGAAAAAGGACAGATGATGAAAGATGTTATAAGCAAAGGAAATAAAGGGGAAAAAAAGCGAAAGCAAGGTCTGATGAAACATATTCCTCTTTGAGGGATCGCTGCAAAAAAGAAGAGTTTAGTTATTTAGCTTAAAAATGCTTACACATTAGACATCTTCATTATATCAATTAGCACAACTCAATTGGCTCAAATAAACGGAGTTAGGATTGTTTTCATTTGATTGCTTATGGAATGGCTGTTGAGTGAATCAGCTGCAGGAAGTTCATTACTTTCACAATAAAAGCTTTGCACCGACGAGCTCTTATTGTGACGGTACAGGAAGTGCAATGTGTTCTGCTCTCAGCCTCTGATTGGGTCACTGAGAGTGATGTCACCCCCTGTGCCCACTGATCTTGCCTCCTGATTGGTCCTGACGGAGGACATGATCTGATTGGTCAAAAACACATAAAATGTTTTCTTAGTTTAATTATTATTTACTAACCCTAACCAAAAAACGAGAAAGATGAAGAATATTTTGTGAAAACATGAAAGTTGCATGTTTTATAATTTAATTCAGTGAGGTAGAGGATGATGTGCCTCTTTAAATATCTAAAGGGACGCTGTCTCCAGTACCCTTGTAACACTGAGTTTGGACCCCAAAAAGTATGATAATACAACTTCTGATAGTGTTGCAGAAAAAGACTGTGTTGTCACTTGTTTTTTTATAATATAATGAAAAAAAAACTGTAACTTAGTCATTGATTAAATGTGTGCTCCTAAAACAAATACCAATAAAGGTATTTTATTAGGTCTGTTTTTTTTATGGTGCTATGACTTTATACTGAATTAACATTTCTGAAATCTTGACCATGGTCTTTGTGTCTTTTTGTCATGCATTAAATGTACAGAGCGCCACTGCTTGTACCTGACTGACAGGAGCTGATGGGAGCAGGAGGAGCAGAGGGAGAAACAGCGAGCTGAGTGTGAGCAGAGGAGAATAAAACAGAGATGGAAAGAGAAGAGGAGCGAGAGGGTGAGGAGCGAGGGAGGGAGGCAGTGAGGGCTGGAGCCTCGGGGTCACACAGGGCATCGAGGTCGGGACTACACAGCAGAGGGACAGTGCTGATGTCACTTCCTGATGTCAACCACGACCCCTGAGCACCTGAGGAGATCAGAGAGGAAGGGACAGGGAAGAGGAGGTGGAGATATGGGAGGTAAGGTGAGGCAGGTTCATATAGGAACAAGAGAAATGATGGTGGATGAAGACAGAGGAGAGAACGAGTATATTTCTGACATTGGTTACCTCTCGGGGACTCTGAGATAGAGGGGTGAGATTTAGGGAGATGAGAAGTTGATTCATGAGGAGGGGCATCAGCAGAAAAAGGAGAGGGAGAGGAGGGGCGATCGATTGACTTGACGAGCTGAGGTCTGAAAATGTGAGCATGGCCTAGAGAGGACAGACGATGATTTTAGAAGCATAACAGAGAAATTAAGAAAATTATTTTTAAAAGATAATTAGTAATGGATCTCTTTTCACAGCAGAGACAGACCAGAAAGTGAAGTAAGATCCTCTTTGGTTTGAACCTCTTGGGGGCGCCGTTGGTGTGAAACAGGAACTATGGAGAGGACAGGAGGGTAGAAAGAGAAGTGATGAGCAAAAGAGGAACGAAAACAAAAGGAATAAGCAAAGAGTGAAAGGGAAACAGCTTGGCTAATTATTTATCATGCATTGTACTCATTGTTCTACACTAGAGAACTGATCTAAATATCTCTGTTTGCTGCAGTCTCATCAGTGATTAGCAGTTTCAAAGTCATCAAAATGCTATTAATGTACAATTAAGAAGGCTGAATTAAATATCTAATTTTCTTAATGTTCCATACTTGCAAAATGTTTTTTTATTCACTTTAATCTCTATGATGTAAAAGTAAAATGCTTAGGCAACTGTGTAAGGGCCGGTTGAACTCAATATATATTGGACACATTTTGTTATGTTATACAATTTACTGTAAATATATCATGTAATTTTTCCATATTTTTAATAGATATTTTCTATATTTTCAATAGATTTATTAGAGAGTCTAAGAGATATATTCTAGTAGCCAGGCCAGTGTTATTTTGAAAGAAGTTTAGGAATAATGTTGTGTGTTGATAGTATGAGATTGAAAGTGTGGACTGAAACAGAACTGTCAAACTTTTAGATTTAGATCCGACTCACTTCCTTGGTGGTTGGATTTAAATATTCAAATAAACCTCCAGTAAATATGTTTCCTGCGTCCTGCTGTGTTGTGTTCACTGGTGGTATTTTGCCCAGAAAATATAATTGAATAGGTCAGATGTGTGAGATACTGCAGCACTAACAAGACATACAGATGTTTAAATCTAAATTCTGTAAACTGATCTTCCTCACTATACTGTACATAAACATTATACTACTACACACTGTATTGATCTTTCTCAAATAACATGGGCATGACTCTTAATCATGTGGAACACAAGGTCAAAAAAGGAATCAGTTTTGTGGAAAAGCCAAAGTGTTGATACCTTTTCCTGAGCCTGACTGGAAGATTCTGGGCAGAGAGGGAGGCTGAGAGAGGCTCCGGGTGAGAGTAGGGCGAGAGGATGGAGGTTCAGATGTCAGGGTGGGATTTGATGGAGAGGAGGAACTATGGGGGAGTAGCTGGGATGCAGTAGAGGTGGTATTATGGGTGAGAGTAGTGGATACAGTGAGGGAAGACCTATGAGGAGCTGTGGAGGTTGACGTTACGGTAATTTTGGGTGATGATAAAACAGGAGAGTGAAGTTTGGGAGTTAATGAGGTGATATCTGTTTCGGAGGCACCTGGTGGCTTAAAAGGCACATTGGAGGGGGTATTTGAGGAGGAATTAATGGGAACAGAGGGCAAAGAAGGCTCCACTGTGGCAGCGGGTGAAGTAGGAAGAGATTCAGAGCTTTTAGGTGCAGGGTGAATAGAAGAGGAAATGTTTTGAGAAGACAACGTAATTATAGGGGCTTTGGAGGCTTTGGGGGGACGGAGGTTTGGCAGGAGCAACATCCTGTAGAGGCAGGACAGGGGAGGCACTCTGGGTGGAGGGCGGAGCCACTGTGGGCTGGGAGCTTGGAGGAATAGGGAGTGGGATAGAAGAAGAAGCCTCAGAGAGGAGAGGGGTGGAGGATGTTTTATGCTTGGATCTGGGTGAGGGCTGAGGGGAGGGACCAGGGGATGGTTGGATCTCTGAGGTGAGGGAGTGACGGCTGCGACGGGGCGAGGGGCGAGGAGCGATAGGGAGAGGAGGGCGGCAGAGGACCGCAGAGGAAGGGCCGCCATCACGCCCACAGGCTGGATGGGTAGATGGAGGATGGAGGAGGATCAGTGAGGGAAGATTTTTGATGGAAGAGATGAAAAAGACAGAAGGAAATGGTCATGAATAAAGAATGAGAATGAAATTAATGTTTTTCTGGTCTTTCCATATTGGGAGATATGAAAGAGAATGAGGGCCACATGGGAAATAAATGTGGTATGTGAACAAAAGTAAAAAGAAAAATGTGAGTTCTGATTTTTGAAAAATGTCAGAATTTTGAGAACAAATCCTAAATCTCAGAATTTTCATAGTTTTAGTTTTTCCTCAGAATTCTGACTTTTTTCTCAACAAGAAAAAAATCACTTTTGGTGTGGCCCTAAAACTCTTCCGTAGTGAGTTGATTAGACTTGGATTCTGTAAAACATTGCAGTTGTTAATGTGTACACATCAGTGGTGCAAAGTACACTCAGTGCATGTACTTTAGTGCTGTGGTTTAGTAGAGTTTGGAGGTACTTTTCTTGCGAATTTACATATTCTCCTTATTTATTAAACGTACAGTACATGTATCAATAACATCTGAAAAAGGCTGTCATGCATTCTAAAAAAAGAAATGTCCAGGACAAGTAATCAGTTGTCAGAGTTACGGTTATATGTGGTTCGGTTACACTTGTTAGAGAAATGTGTCTCTGAATACAATAACCTCTATGTGTCATGCAGCTAAATCTTTTCACGCCTCCAAACAAACTTCCAACAGATTGGTGGCATTAGTGTGCCATCACATGATTCTCAAAAATGTCTGGATGAGAAATATGTGGTATGCAGAACAAATAGCATGAATGTGTGAAATATGGTTATATAAACTGAGCCTCCCAATAACAGACAGGGAGACAGAGTTCCTGTTCCCACCTCCGCCTCTCAGGAAAGAGAAACAAACAGCAGGCGTCGGTGAAAGAAAGGGCAAGAGGAAGAGGAAGCTACCTGAGGCTGGAAGAGAGAGTCCAACAGAGTCTCGTTTGCCAGGTGGAGGAGGAGCAGGGCGATTTGGGCGAATGAGAGTGTGTGGGACGACTGCCCGGTCAGAAAAGAGTAGAACAGAAGAAGTGTTTGCAGGAAAAAGAGGGTAGAGAAGGAAAAAGGTCAGGAGAAATACTTCACAGTGAAGATCACAGAGAGACGTTGTGAGTTCACTGGTTTTATTTTGAAAGAAAGTTGGATGTAATTAGTCAGAACTGAGGCAATCCTAGCAGATGAATAGGCCTTTAGACTTGGTTAAACAGCCAAAAACTGCAGCATAAGACATACTACATTTTAATTTAAAAAGGCCAAATATGAACAAACACAAATGAGCAGATACTAATTATCTAGTTGGAAGCAGTGCTTGTATAAGTCAGCCTACCTGTAGCAGTGATAGACTTCTTGTCCTCGTCTTCATCGCTCTCGTTGAAGTCGTCCATGTTGCCGATGTCTGCAGGTTTCACACTCATCAGGCTGGCCAGACTCTGCATGTCTTCATCACTGAGGGACAAGAACAAGAGAGGGAAGATTACAGGGCTGCAACTAATGATTATTTTTTATGGAGGATTAATGTATTACTTGTTTGCCTACAAAATGTCAGAAAACGATGAAAAAGGTTGATCAACTTTTCTACAAGCCAGAGACAATGTTTTTTATATTTCTGTTCTTGTGCTTATTTTTTATTTTTGCAAAAGATATTCAGTTTCCTTACAAGGATTAAAGAAAACGAAATATAAGAAGGGAGAATAATAGTTTCTGACAATTTGGACTCTTTTTCTTTAAAAAAAACGATATAACAAAACCAATTAAGCAATTATCATAAAAGCTGTCAAATACTTGAATAGAAGAAACATATTGATACATCTTTGCAGCTCTAGAACATAACTACACCATCATTACTTATTGATACGTTTATGACTTTATATATATCTCCACAAACAGGACACTTCTTCTCCCTGGCCTTCTAGTCAGAGCGGAGCACGACTCCTGACTTTTCCCTGTGTTTTTTATATATATCTGTTGTAATTTATTGTCTTTTATTGTGATTGTAGTAATGTGTTTTTATTACATGTACAGCACTTTGGCTCGACCAAAAATCGCTTTTAAATGTGCTTTATAAATAAAACTTGATTTGATTTTGATTTGATTTGATTACAAATAATATGGTAGGTATATAAAATGTGACTATATGTATGAATCACCTGTGGACTTTAATTGCCCACAAAAACCTATACACAAATACAGAAGAAACTCTTGTATTTAAGTATTCTCTCTTTACTTTCAAGTATGTAATGTTCAATCAATCAATCAATGTTTATTTATATAGCCCAATATCACAAATGTTACATTTGTCTCAGTGGACTTCACAGTTTGTACAGAATATCAGTATGACAATACGACACCCTCTGTCCTTAGACCCTCACATCGTACAAGGAAAAACTTCCAGAGAAAAACCCCACAGTTTAAAGGGGAAAATGGGAGAAACCTCAGGGAGAGCAACAGAGGAGGGATCCCTCTCCCAGGACGGACAGACGTGCAATAGATGCCGTGTGTAAATCGAAGAGATAATACAATAATGTTGAAGCACTACTGTCTAAGTAATGTCATAAACATCCTAAACACATGTTGTTGTGACTTTAAATACTACTGCTAAAGTAAGTGGTGGGAGAGGATACAACTACTACTCACGTAGCTTTCCCCTCTCGAACAAAGACACATGACAGCGACAGCTTGAGCGTGGCCTCCACCACTTTGACCGACAGCGGCTTCAGCTTCAGCGTCAGGTCGGTCTGGGTCGGCGTCGGACTGGCAAACCGCTTCAGGTTGATGTCTGCAGAGGCCAGAACCTTACGATGTCCCTTGCTCTCCTTTACATGACCAATAAAAACAACCATAGTACTTTTAATTACATCTGACTATATCTGAGTAGACTTACAAGCAAAAGCTGAGTGGTCAAAGATACTTACACCCAGTAGAGACTAAATGGTTACTAGTAGCTTTGAACTGTGGTCCCTATCAATGTACCAAATGTCTTTTCTATGTCTTCAATACAAATATATTTAACAAAAAAAAAGATACTTACACCCTCAATGACAAAGGTCCACTCTTTGTCCTCAAACTCATCAGCATTGACCTCCTGTAGAGACGAAAAATAAATATCAATTTGGAGTCAAACATCCTCTCCACCCATTATACATACTGTGCATCCACCTAACTATATATATACTACATATTAATTTCCTTGTAAATGTTGACATCTACTAACTGGATGACTTTATCATCTATCTATCTATCTATCTATCTATCTATCTATAAATTGTCTTTTCATTTCTAGTTTCCAGTAACATATTGTGTGGGGAGGCATCTGCACTACTTATATTTCCTGTATTAATTCTGCAGTTTGTGTCTTGGTACCTTGAAGAGAGTAACAGAGATGTCAACGTTCTCTGGGACGGGCCACACCACCATGCCTCTGTAGGGGTTCTTGATTCCAGGCTGCCAACTGTGGAGCTGTGATACAAATGAAACATTGGTGAGACTGCCAGTCGAAGAAGTACTCAGACCTTGTACTGAAGTCAATGTCATAGTAACACAGTAACGAAATACCGACTAGTTAAAGTCCTTCATGGATAATGTAACTTGAGAAAAAAGTACATAAATTGGCATCAAAATATAATATACTATACACAATTTCTAACATTATACAACACCAGAGTGGGGAGATGAACCCTTTGCCTCGAGGGGGCTTGAATTATGCTTCACAAGTCACATGGTTGTGTACAAGTTTAGGTGTGTGTGTGTGTGTGTGTGTGTGTGTGTGTGTGTGTGTGTGTGTGTGTGTGTGTGTGTGTGTGTGTGTGTGTGTGTGTGTGTCTGTGTGTCTGTGTGTGTGTGTGTGTGTGTGTGTGTGTGTGTGTGTGTGTGGTTCAGTGGGTCAGTGGTTTTACCTTGGAGCACATGCGTCTGTTCCTCCTGGTCCACACCACCCTTAGCTTGTCTGGTTGCCTATAGAAACACACAAAACATCAAGAAAAACATGAAAATTACGTCTTGCCACACATCCATATGTTTATATAATAAATGTTATTATGATCAGACTTCAATCAACACAAGGCACTGATCTCAATGAGTGTGTGTTTTTGTTAGTAAAGTTGTATGCAGACGTCTGTGATCGCATCTGTGAATGTATGTCACCATGTGTGTGTATTATCTGTACTTAGGCAACACACTGTATAACATGTGTTTGTGTACGTACTGTGCGCACCTGTCTCTTTGTATGTTGGCAACATGTTTATAAGTGTTTCCATTGTATTTTCTCAGGCCCCTGCGGCACAGGAAGTGAAACTAGAGTCACGTGATTGAGTCCGTGGATGTGAGGCGACACACACAGGAAGAGGATCCCCTTTAAAGAACACACACACCCACAGACACCACCTCCAAGTAATATACGAGTACATAATAATAACTTATATTATTGCTAAGTCTAAATTATCTTTACTACTATTTCAACACCTACTAATGTTCTTTATAGATGCTAAAAATTGCCTCAAGTTTCAGTGTATCAGTTCTGAAGTACATTTCAGAGGGGATGTGTGTGTGTGTACATGTGTTTATGTGTGTTACCGGTCAGGAAGAGCATCAGAAATAATGTTACAGGCACAGGGTGAGGGTAACGGAGGGTGAAGAGAAGGAAAAAGGAACGAAAGACCGCACAAACAGGAGGCAATGAAAGTATAATCCGAAACACAAAGACACAAAAACATTTAGCGTACCATTGAGCTCAGTAACAATGGTGTTTACACGGGCAAACATTAGGGGTGTAACACAGTTTAGTCACATGTAATTACTGTAATTGCGGTTGGTGTTTTGTCATCAGCAGACAATGGTTATATTCCACTGCTGACAAGATGTTAATTATTTTTAACACCATTTAGTGTTTGAGGTTACTGTCAAAAGAGATAATCTCATCTACATTTACACATGTACGAGCAGAACAACCTCCCATCTCATGTTTTTGTCACATAACACACTCTTAGTGTTACTGTAAAAATAGCATGTTGCTAAGTCTTTAATTATGTCTGAACCACTGAACTGTCTCTGTCAACATCACTTTATCATTTTCTGACTGTTGTCATGTAAAAACTGGCAGGGACTTTCTTATCTTAGGCCACTCTGTATTTCTGTTTCCTGGAGCTTGTGATGGAGAATATCTTGTTCCTCGAGTCTTGCTATGATGTAAAACCGTTTTTGCCTCTTAGTGCCAGTTTGGAAAGACAACAGTAATAGGGCAACATTATAATTAAAATTCATTTGAAGTTGTGTTTGTGACCACCTGTCTACAAATCTTTGTAGTTTGGCTTTATATGGTTTTGGTCTCAACCAGCTAAAGAGGGGTATATCTGTCTCTTTAGCTGCTAAATGCTCAACTATAACCAGCTGTCTAGCACTGTGTCTGTTTTCTGTTTGGTGCTGAGCAGGTAAAGTGTATTCAAAGTATTTTCTCTGAAAACAGCCGCCTGCTGTGGCCGAAAAAGCACTGAGAGCTGTGAACCAAAACAGAATTGTTGCCGACATCTAAGCAATGAGCTGAAACGCACTATAAAGTGAAGGTACAGTTGCAAAACATCTCATTCAAAATCTTAAGATGCATCTCAGGAAGAAGACATTATGGGTAACAATATTCTGCCAATAGCCTCAAATCATAGCACTAAATTAAAACATAAAACAAAACACACACATACACACACACACACACACACACCCACACACACACACACACACACCCAACACACACACACACACACACACACACACACACACACACACACACACACACACACACACACACACACACACACACACACACACACACACACACACACACACACACACACACACACACACAAAGTTGTACACAACCATGTGACTTGTGAAACATAATTCAAGCCCCCTCGAGGCAAAGGGTTCATCTCCCCACTCTGGTGTTTGATGTGATCTTTAAGCGTTAGTAACCTCTGACCCCAGATACAGAGTCAAATCAAACTGTGTGCAGATTTGTTCTTAAAAACATCACATGCCTAAAGTAATATGACTTTGGAATAATCTTTTGTGTTTCCCCACTTCCTCCTGTTCTCTCCTCCTTGTCTCTGTGCTTCCCTGTTTTACCAGCACACTTGTAAAGGCTTGTAAAATGCGATTTCCTCATATTTGGGAGTTTCCTTTTTTTCTAAATCACTCTGCCCCTTACCTTCTATGTTTCCAGATAACAGAAGCTCTCTGCAGCTGATCAAACTCTAACACTTCTGACGAGATTATTCAGTCATTAAAGTGAAAAAACCTGATATTTGTTTCTTATCGTGCTCCTGACAAGCCACTTTCACAATTATTCCTTTCTTCAAAGTAATTTGGACAGATAAGAAGGTGCAATTTGCCTGTGGGCAAAAGTTTAAAGATACTAGAGAAACTTCTTCGAAAAATATCAGACAATGTAGTTATTATTTCACTATTTTAAAGCAAGTACCAAAAAAAAGTAATAAAGGTTCAGGAAAAGTTAGCGATGCTTTTAACATTTCAGATTCTACTTTAAAGCATGGCCCTTAAACCCTTAACCTGACCATTTTTATATTTATTTTTTCCTTATAAATGTTGTGTCTGTGTCAGAGAGCTGAATATTGCTCCGTGCTGCATCACCTGGCCTCCTCCCAAATGTTTTGTACAACAGGAAATTGCACAAAAAGGGGAAGCCATACAGAGCCTCAGGGCTATAAAGTGATCTAATGTAATCTCTGAATTGAATAAAAAGCGAGACAAATTAGTCTGTAATGATAAATGATTAAATAACTGTGCCAAATTAGAAAATATAAAATTGCTCAAATGTTCACCAGACATCTGGTCTTATTGCCAGCATTTGTGTACAATTCCAAATAATAGGAAATGACACACATAAAACTATTCTGTGTCGCATGGGTGTGCCACTATTGTTTTTTTTTTAGAGAGAACACATATACTTTTTTATATTTTAATCTCAAATGATTTGAATATGGTTGTGTGATATAACATGAGTTCAGTGTAGGTAACTATACATTTACTCAATTACTGTAATCATGTTCAATTTTGTAGTAATAGTACTTTACTTCAGTAGGCTACTTCCAATGTATACTACTTACTTACTCTTCAGATTCAGATGATTAGCTAATACAATAAATAAATAAATAATTAAATAAACTTTGACTTATGATCATAGGTAAAGACATGCAGCAATAAGTAATTCAAATGAGTTCCACCTTTACCAGCCATGATGAACACAATCATAAATCAATAATCCATTTATGATATTTGTATATATAAAAACTGTATAAATATTATTCTAAAATGGGCCATAACTCTTAATGAGTAGTTGGTACTTTAAGTATGCATGAATACTAATACTTCTGTTGTTTTAGGAAGATGTTGAATGCAGGACTTGTACTTGTATCAGAGTATTTTTACAATTGAGTATTGCTAAATTAGCTCAAGTGAAAAATCTGAGTAGCCTACTTCTTCCACCACTGCATGAGTGTAAAGATCAATGAACCTATGGACTGCTTGGTGGTAACTGTATCTCAGACATACACAGACCCTGTCAATAGGCGTTGTCGGGTATCGAACCCACTATCACTGCGGAACAACTTATCGCTATACAGAGGCGACATGTGGGACGCCCTCATCCTTCACAGTGTAGCGGAAAGACCCATATCATTATGGTTATTATAACGTATAACATACAAAACAGGTTAGTAGGTGGGGCTATTTACATGTTAAGAAACAGAAACAGAAACAGAAAACGTTCATTTGAGAGAAATAAAGTAATTTGTCATCAAACTC